TTAAAATATTACGTTAAAGCGATAAAACAAAAAAAATGTATCCTTTGCAAATTGTAAAAACAAATAAATTTTACAAGCTTTTGAATTTTTTTCTTGAAAATTAATATCTCATCTTTCAGAAAGTACAATTAACAAAATTATTTTAATTATATAAATGTAAATTAATTATTTTTTTCAAGAGGTCTGCATTTCCGTAGATAAACGTCCTTAATAAATATATATTTCATAATAAATAAATAATTATTATTGTATATTTGAGTGTAGGGCGAATTATATAATGAGAACGCTCAAAGAAAAAAAGGTGCGGATTTTTATTTCATACAGGATAGCGTTTTTAAAAAATTTTGACTTTTATTTTTTTCCATTTTGGACCACCTGGCTGTATTCAAGGCGCCCGCTTCTAGTGTAGAGCGCGTTATAGAATCAGGGTCCTCCATTATAAGCCTTAAAAAGAAACCTTCATCAAAACTATCGCTAGCTCTGCGTCTCTAACCTCTATTGGATTACTGGCAGAATGTTAGTGGTGATAATTGTCAGCAGGATTAAACATGAACTTGACTACACGGAGAGAACTCTCTTACTAATATCGCACAAGTAGGTGTCGTTCGCTTTTCGTAACAGAAGCGCCGTGCTAATTTAGGTTAGATTCATGCGTTAAGTGCAACGCTAGTTCCTGTGCGCTAGTAGTAAAAGTCACGTACGAATTCTCCACTCAACTGTTACTACAAACGCTCCCCACTTCTCCGTGCTGCATTTGCTCGAAATCCATGAAAAATCAGCATGGATTTCTTGCAAATCGAGGAAAAACGTTACTCGCGTGCGCGACGAATTTCTTGTCCTATATATATATATATATATGACTGAAAAGATAATATAATGAGTAAATTTACTTTTCATTTATTTGTTTTCATTTTTTCCTCTTATTCATTTATTTATTTCTTGAATATAATTATTTTAAGTTGTACATAAAGAACTTTAAGAAGCAAAAATTCAAAGGTCATTGAAAGAAATTCCGCTCTTCAAAATAAATTCAATTGTCTCTATATATGTATATAAATATATGTATATATATATAAATTATTTTCTGGTTTATTCTTACAATTGCAGTTAGTTTATTACAAAAATAAATTTTTATTTTCACTTTCTTTTGTATGCATTAAAATTAAAACAATTTAAAATTTAAAAACAACAATTAAAATGAGAAAATTGTATATAAAAAAGATAAAATAAAAATAAATAAAATTTTATAAATATAAAATAATACAAATATAAAATATTTATATAAAAAATAGTATAAAATAATTAAATAAAATTATAACATATTTGCAATAAAGCGTAAGTGAATTAAGATTAATTTCAAGATAATTTTTTTTATATTTGTAATAAAAATTTTAAGTATGAAATTATATTCGAAGCTATTTTAATGTTATAAATAAATTTTTTCAAATAAAATACATCAGTTTCAAAAATATAATTCATTATGTATTTTTTTTGTTTAAAAATTTTTGAAAATTCATATATCTTTTTATTGCCATAAAAAATATTTTCAAAATTGAAGGTTTTAAAATAATTAAATTATTTAAAATTGAGGTGGTAATTTTAATTTCGTTTTAAAAATCAAGGTTTTAAATTCGACATAAAAAAATGTAGAGATAAAATGTTTTAAATTTTTAGTTTACAATGTCGATCTTCTTACAAAACTTCCTTATTACATTATTTTTAAAACTGTTTATAAATATTTTTCAGTTATCTCATAAAAATATAAATTTATTATGCAAACTTACATAAAAATCATTTTCAATACAATTATACATTTAAAAATAAAACTTTTATATCTTTACATTGCCTTGTCTTACGTTCATACGTTAAATCTCGTGGCAATAAACTCGTCAGTTTTCTTTTTTATATAAAGACATGGAGGCAATTTCGGAATCAATTCAATATTAATGAAAAGAGAACAGTTGTGGTCGTTAGAATTAACTCTGTACGAATGATAGTAACTGTCAAAATAAATAGTATCGAATTCGCTAATTAGAAACTAAACGCTATTGTTAACTTTGAACACTTCTTTAATTACGCCAAATTTAGGATAATCCTCTGTAATTTTGGTTATGAGAACCGTTCCTTCAGAAAATCGATTTCCAAGGATTTCGATGTATTTTAAACTCATGACAACACTACTGTGATATTTCTGGAATTAGTTTCTTTAAAATGATTAATGCATTTGAATTTTTCACTGGACCTAACGAAATCTCTTCTTTTAAATTTTTACAAAACTCCATATTGTAACATTGCTGCAATTGATGTCGAAGGGCGATTGTGTAGGGCAAGTTAATATTACTCGTTTTACTGACAGCTGTTTTTTTTTAATTCTTTGTTTTTTCTTTCGAACATCAAAGTAGAAAAATGAATAACTGGCTCATTCAATAACATAATAGTCACATAATGAATCAAGAAATGCATTTTAGGTTTCAGTGGACCAATGAGAGATATAAATAAAGAATTATGCTTTTTGATTAGATCTTTGAGGTTTTCTATTTTTCCTCTTGTTAATCTTGGAGACGTTAAAACAGCAAATAGATCGCGGAGAGCTATATACAATTTCCAGTGCTCATTATTTGCTGGAATTAAGTGTCCTACCATTAGTCCAAAGTACCTAACCAGGCAGAGCATTTCCGAAGCGAACTGTTTGATTTTTAATTGTTTAGATCCGTTTTGTTTTGAGCATAATACAAAGGTCTCGGTTTATTCGGTTTTTCAAATTCGGGGTATGGAAAGCTGTCAATCATGTTATTTATCACATCAAGCTCCAGTATATACTCATTTATTAAGTTCTCTATTACTCCACCAAGCGTATAAACTGCAAAGCCTTCTGGACCATCGTGCGCGAGATCAACAGCTAAATTTTCAGTAATATTGTACTTTTTTAACAAGTGAAATATGCATTTTTCTACTATGTCTGTTCCCTTAGCATCATTTTTTAACAAATCTTTTTCGTCCGAGTCACGAGTTCTCAGTAATTTTTTAATTTTTTCAACCATTTGTTGGCATTCGCTAGAAGAAGCTTCACAAATCCTACAGAAATGATCTGCGTTAAAGCTAATTTGAAAACCGCATATAGAATTGATTCCTAAATTGTCTCCTACAACAAGAATGCACTCAAAAACAACTTTAATTTTTTCCCCATTAACAGTAATATTAATTCCTTCTTCAGATAAAATAATTAGAGTTTCAAGGGTTTTTGAGAAAACTTTGCTATTTCCGAATTCTTTTAAATGCTTAGAATAACAAACCGTGGAAACAAAAATATTTTCCAATTTTGCAGTCTATTGAGGGAGTAAACACGGAAACGATACATACGCTCCACCAAACTTTTGCTCGCCCGCATGGCTGCCTAAAGGGTTGCCAGTTTGAAATTCGTCGAAAAACAGTATTATCGAAAAAACGATTTTATCTTCATTTAATGGACAGTATTTTTTTAGCCAAAGATCTCCTTGCACGATATTACTCAGAATGTCTTTTTCTGTAGAGATCTTTTTCACATAATCATCCATTTCTTTAAACATTCCCGGTATTTGGAAAAAGTTTTCGAAAGTTTTGTTTAAAGGGACGTGAACTGCATGGACTTTTTTCATTTTCACTTCAGTCTTATTTTGATCCTTAATTACATGTACTGCTTCTTCTCCAATCTCAAACGTTTCCGGAGGTACAAACAAAGTTTCCTGCTCATAAATTTTAAATCTTAAATGCTCAGTACTAAATTTATTGAAAATGTGTTTGTTATTTTCTAAAATAAACTGAACTTTGTTTTGTGATTCTTCGTGTGTTATATGATTTTTTATTTCATTTTGTATAAATGAAATATAATGGTCTGAAACGAAACTATCTAATGACGATATTATATCGTTGACTGCCTTTCGCGATAACAGTGAATTATTATAAAGCTCGAGAGTAAATTTCAACATTTCCCTATCTAAGGATACTTTCTGTGAACCTATTGTACTTTTTAAATTATTTATAAAATCCATTTAAACTTGAAAAACGATTCTTATACCATTAACGTAAGAATATTAAAGCTTCTGTAAATTTTCAATAACACTTGCTACTGAGACAAATGTATCTTTAACTTCGAATTTGTAAATATCTTTTTCTATAAACTGCCAAACATGATTGCATACAGGTGACACCTTTTCGTTAAAAATTTTCATACATTGAAAGCAAAGATCTACTGCCAAGGTCGGTGAAAGGACTTGATACTTGTGATTGTCTAATATCACATAAGCTGATCTAATCTCACTCAGTGACGGTCCGTTAATTATAACGTACGGCTGTAGACGAATTTTGTGGTCAGTGTGCATCTGCTGCAGCTCATTTTGAACCTCTTCTAGTAATTTCTTGAAATTGTCAGTTTCCTACATATTCAATAATAATTTTAAAAAATTGCTGAGCATAAATATAATTAATTTTGTAAAGAGTAAAACCATTATATTTTCACGAAAATTGTTACGATCTATATTTAAAAAAAATTGATACTCTTAGCAATGATTCGGGATTAGAGTCCGAAATAAAAAGAATTACAATAATTAATAATTCTCTTAAAATATCAGTTTTAAATAGAGCAAAAGAAGGATAAAATGTTTATTGCTATAATATCTGATAGATGAAAAAATGATAGCTTTGCTCACATTTAGTGATTTAAATTAATAATTCAATGAAAATAATAGAAAGTTTTAGTTAATTACACTACCGCCCTCGAATAGGCAAAAGGGAACGCCTCTTTTACTTGATTGAAAAAAGCTTAAGATGTACAAAATAAAAAGAACGAAAATTTTTCGTATTTTCTCTCTGAAAGCTGATAAAATTATGAAAAGAATGTCACAAAACAAAGAATTTTTGTTAAGTTTTCTGCCAGTTATAGAAAGAAGTGAATTTTGCATGATTTTCTTAATTCTTCAATTTATCGGCAACTGATTAATGATTTTAACGTTCTTGGATTAAAATTAGTTTTACATTAGGTGGTCTCAATTTAATAAAGTTGTTTACCTGGTTTTAGATTTTCTATGAGTCCATTTGTCGTTTTTCTTGAATCCTTTTAATTGTGGTTTGTTGGGGATATTGTTTGGCCGGTTTGAATCCTAGACTTGTACTTGATTCTGTGTATTGACAATGGTTTCTGATGACATATGGGATATTCCATTTTGTATTTTGGACCAGAAATTCTTCTTTTGAATACGGGTTTAGAAATAATTGGCTTCAGAAAAAAGGGGGGCTGAAAATAAGTGAACGAATTAATAGGAAGACAAAATTAAATGATAAATTAAAACTTGAATTAAGTTGAAGTAAATGACTATACTTACTTAGGATAAAACAATGACATGACGAGGAAGCACAAAACAATATACTTACTAATAAAATATTGTTATAAAAACGTAGAAAACAGCCTTTTTTTTACAAAAAATTAACTTGGTCCCGGGATTCCAAAGAGCTAAAAAAAATACCACAAAGAATTAATTCTTATTAAAACTATAATTTTTTTTTTAAAGGCAAATCAAATTAATTAAAATTGTTTAAAACTAATTTAAATTAAAAATCAAAATTTCATTTAAAAAAAAATGAAAATTAAATAATAATTACATTATAAAAGGGGATCTAAAGAATTATGTATAAAATTATGCTTATCTGATGAAATATTGGCCAACAATAATCCAAAACACTAACCTGAAACAAGAAGGGAAAAATTAATATTATTTAGAGTTAAAAAAAAAAGAAAAAAAAAAAGGGGGAAGGTAATAAAGTATTTAACTATAACAAATAATATAGATATAGAAGGAAAGGAAAGGATTAAACATTAAAACAATTTTGAGGTTAGGAAATCTGTCAAAGTATAAAAGGAATAACAAGTCATTTAAACAAAGAAAAAGGGAGAATGAATAAATAAAATTCAAAATTAATTCAACCAAAAGTGAATTATTAATAAAGGTATTTTAATTTAAAACAAAAAAAAATGAAGCATTAGTCGTATTAAAACAACTACAATTAATACTTACGAAAAGAATGCACAAGTAGTTCCTATCGAGCACCACTTCACTCATTATATTATTTATTATTATATAGTATAATATTGAAAAAAAATTCGCTCTTGAGATCGAATTTTTTCTATATGGGGGAGAGTGTAACATTGTCAGGTCTAGGTTGGGTCACTGTTTAGAGGTTGGGAGTGCTTCCCGAAGGCCGATTCTACAATAACATTATGAGAAAATGTAAAAACTTACGTAACATAACGTAAAATGTGAATGTAAAATATAAATGGTAATTTATATATATAAATTGTTGCAAAAATGGTCTGATTTATGGATTTTGAGCCGACTTATTCACAAAAATAAATATTTAGAAAATAATATGTATATATTTAATTTTAAAAATCGATTTGAGATTATATATAATAATCTTAATAAAACAATTAGAGTGATTATTGAAATTAGAATCTTATAAATAAATAATGAAAAGTTAAACGTTGGGTACAAACAAATTGGGTTAAGATTATAAAATTCATAAAGAAAATATTCAAGTAATTTAATAATTAATGTTAATAATTATTTTTAGATAAGTACTCAGAAAGGGTTTTCTGCAGTTTCCCCTTTTCTCTAGAGGATTGTTCTAGGTGAATACGAGTACTTGTTAAGCTTCGCTGCAGAAAAAAAATTGAGTCTTGATAATTATAAAATTATAATTATAATAAAATTATACGCATAAAATAAAGAAATGTAATCAACATTTAATTTAGGATAAAACGTAGAATAATAAAATTTCAAGTCGTAAAATATTCACAAATAAAGAGATAAAATTCATAATAAATGTGCAGGTGTCTCTAAAACGCAAAATCTTTTGCGTATTAAATAAATAAATCCATAAAATTGAGGTAATAAAAGGGATAAATCATAGAAATTCTCAGAAAAAAACAAGAATACTGCGTAAAAGACTAGAAATCTTGTGAGAGAAATTTTAGATGTCAATCAAAAGAGGGTGAAAATTGTTCAAAAATAAAATATTAGGGAAACCATGCATTAGTAAAACGCAATTATTATGACTCATTTTAAGAAAATACGTTGCGGAAATGTTGAGTGAATCATGTGTAAAAATCCAAGATGGTACCTGAAAAAATGGGCAGAGAATGAATGTGATTGGCAATAAAACATAACATGGACTCCAAACCGTATGCTGTAATTGGATGACAGAGTAATTGGGGGAAAAGGGACCCAAGTTAGGAGTAGGAAGAGAAATATAAAAGCTAAATTTTAGAGTAGAGAGTTAGATTTTTGAGCGATTTTCAAGTGCGTTGATTTGAAAACTCGTCTCTTTCAACGCGATAAAATATAAAAAGGAAAGGTTAGATTATCAGGATAGTGAATCTATTCTTTTAAGTCGCGAATCAAGACTCAATTTCAAAAACAATATTGAAGTTTTAAATAAATCAAGTTTTTCTGTTTGAGTGAAATTTGTTGTTTTTTTATTTAAAAAAAAAATAATACATAAAAAAAACTAATTATTTACGTTAATTATTGCATAAGAAATAAAATTATTATAAGTTTAATAATTTACTATAAACTTCTTTAAATTTCTGTGATTTAAAGAGAAAACAATTTGAAAAAGCTTTCTCAACAAGTAAATTCTTTTAAGAATTTAAAATCGATTTGAACTCAGATAATTGTTTTAATAAATAATAAATATTTAAAATCTAAAACACAGAAGAAAATAAGCAAACCATTGTGAACAGTGCATTAAGTTTCAAGAAATCCTTAAGCTGGCTGTTACAGACGATTATTTTGGTGATAGCGAGTTGGGGTTATCTAAAAAATTAATTTTCTTTATACGTGTATGCAAAAACCTCGTTTGGCAACCACTTTCAGCTATCCAAAATAATTGAATCCCTCACCGTACACGCGGACGACGAGCAAAATGTTTTGGTCACCATTTAACAATGAGTAAAATATTTTGCTCATCGTCCGCGCGCACGATGAGGAGTCAATATACGGAATGAAGATTTCACCTATAATAAACAACTCGCAGTCACCAAAAAACATGGTTGCACTTACAGGAAATATTGAGGCTAGGCCGGTACCTTAATTTTCCATGTCGCTCACTGATTAATAGATGGCGCAACGATATATTTCGCTGTGGGGATTGCAGCACGATAAATGCGGTTCCTGTAACTGCGCGACTTTTCTCTCGCACGAAAAGCGAGATACTGAATGCGTGACGTTTCTCTCTCTTACGTGAAGAGAGATAGAGAGATAGAATGCATGTTCGTCTGCTGTTCAGTTGCGCTGGAACCACGAAATGCTAAGCACGCACTTGGCGTAAATATATATAATTAAAAGTTAAATAAATCAAAGTTTATTAATAAAATATTATTTATTAAATACAATTAATTTGTCCACAATTGTGGGGATTCCTACTGAACTTCTTATAAACATTTATATTAATAAAAATCCCACATCGCTGCATTGCATTGAAATTTAGAGTGCCGCCAAGTGCGTCATCTGAAATTTAGATGCGGAAAATTCCCGTGCCTAAACTGTGATTTCACCTGTCATAGTGTATACTTCGTTTATAGGTGTAATCTTCTTTCAGGTTAGGCTGTTCTATAAAATTTATTATTGTTACTACGAGATTAATTCTGAAAAGCGTGTTTTTCTAACCACAATAGTGAAATTCATCGCTGAAGATGAATATCGTTTGATTTTGTCAATTTATTAAATTTCAAGAAAATAGTTAGTGAGGATGGTAAGGACCCCGCAGGATTTACATTAGTTTTGGCTCTCAGTCGATTTTTGTGTAACTTTAGGATTTGATAGTTGTTTGCATTCTGAACAACTTTTTCCTTTGGCAAATTGCTAGATATGGAGCTGGTTTTAAAATACAAGCAATTGAAACCCTTAAAATCGTTAAACGCGGTAACTACCGGAGTTTCAAATTTGAACAGTTTAAAAAGGATTGAATATTGTTTTAAAAAAATAAAATTACATTTTTATGCACTCAAAAGTGCTTTTGATACTTCCTAGAAATGAACGGTAACAACGCATTTGGGGTTGCCACCCTTATGTCCAACAAACAACCCCTAGCATTTACATTCTCCGTAACTTATGTTCAAGATTCAGATGAATCTAATGTTTTCTAGGATTTTTTAATAATATGATTTCAGACAATTACAATTTATCATAAGAGATAAAGTCATTTACAAATCAACCCTTAAGATTAGAAACCAACCTCTTTACCTCAATCTTCATGCATTCAAAAGTCGCTTTTATCTCTACAGAAAAATGTGTACAATTGTTTAAGGATACACTTTCATTCAATTCTAATTGAAATTAACGATTTTAAGGGTTTCAATAGCTTGTATCTTAAAACCAGCTCCATATCTAGCAATTTGCCAAAGGAAAAAGTTGTTCAGAATGCAAAAAACTATAAAATCCTAAAGTTACACAAAAATCGACTGAGAGCCAAAACTAATGTAAATCCTGCGGGGTCCTTTGTTTTGTATTTTAATATTGTAGTTAAGATGGTAAATAGGTGTCTCCTATTAAGTATTTCATTAACCTAATCATATCTGATAAGGTAGAAATTTAATTGACTAACAGTCAAATTTTTATGTACAAAACTCGTACAAATATTTTTCGTACATGGTTTCTAAAAAAAGTGGGTCGTTTCTCGCTGCTGGGGTATGATCCCAGAACCTTCTTATTGCCGGTAAGATGCTCTACAAATTGAGCTGCAGAGAGACCCGATTCCACTCAATTCAGTAACCATGCACACGACTTTTCAACGTCAATATTAAGAACTTTACAAAATATCTAGTGATGACGGTAATTTTGTTTTGAATTTTAATATTGTAGTTAAGATGGTAAATAGGTGTCTCGTATTAAGTATTTCATTAACCTAATCATATCTGATAAGGTAGAAATTTAATTGACCAACAGTCAAATTTTTATGTACGTAAGATGCTCTACCAATTGAGCTACAGAGAGACCTGATTCCACTCAATTTAAAAACCATGCACACGACTTTTCAACGTCAATATTAAGAACTTTCATGAATTCATGAATTCAAGAATTTCATGAAAATATTTATGATTTTTCGAGAAGTATATTGGTGGAGGGAGGTGTTGACTTTGCAGACGAAGATTGTATGTTTAAGAATATTGTAAAATTCATTTTTATGTTTCATTTTCAGCTCCATGATGACCAACGGGTTCTTTCTATTATTGAAATATATTCATAAGTCAAAATTTTGCATTCGACACATTTTTGACGCCCAACGTGACTTTTTTTTCATTGGAAGAAACTAATTTTCAATGCCATGATTGTGTTCACATATTCATGGTACTCAACTTGTTTCAACTTGTCGCGTTAAAATAAGTCATAGTGTCTCAAACGCGGAAAAGTAGCTTCCATTTCAGCCCTTTCGCACGCGTTAAATAACACTTGAGGAACAAAGTTTTCACCTATTGAGTATTAAAATATGGCTCCCATTTTTTCTAACTTTTTTTTTAATACTGTTATAGGATTTTTTGCTATCAAAAAAGTACGGCTTTAAACTGCTTTTCATGCATGACATTAAGGCGTACTTGCTTTTGCGACGACGAAATAGACACCTCTTTACAATTTTTTTTCACAGACATTTTAATATAATTTTAAAAACTTTTTTTATACCTAAAAATACATTAATAAAACTACAAAAATCAAAAATTGTTTTGTTTTTTTATTGTTAATTACGATTTGTAGAGGGCGCCAAAGTAGAAATCTAAAATTTGTAAGGTTTTGCGGCACCCACTGTAGAGCCGCTCCGGACAGTCCAAAATCAAAGAACTAAAATTTTTTTTTTAGTATACATGAATACCCAGTAGACTTATATCATGGAATTAAGAAAAATTTAAAAATACAAATTGGCGTCCTTTTAAAATTAAAATTTAAAAAATCACTGTGTTTTTTAAGTTTTTTGCTATAAAAAAATGTAAAAAAATTTAATTTTCAAAACTTTGATAATTAGTCCACTGAAGAATATGTTTTCTAATAACATGCAAAAAAAGAAATTCTCAAAATCTCGTTTAGAATTTTTGTTACATGGGGTACCAGTTTTAAAAACATTGTTTCGAGAATAACAAGTTTAAAGTTTATGTTCACATCGTTTTTGCTATAGTTTTTGCGTACATGCAGGTATGTATTCAGGTATATATATATATTATAAATATATATATTTTTTTAAAAATCAGAATTTCTTCATAATACTTTACACACGTATTTTTGGCATTATAAGGATTTAAAAAATGTAAA